AATGTAATGTGTGTGTAGATAGTGTGTAATTGATCTGCAGTCAGAAGTATTATTGACGTTCTTTGATATAGCGTTGGTTTTAGCGCGATTGTTGAAGTTGAGTGTTTCGGTAAAGTTATATTCGGAAAGAATAAACCAGTTTTATTAAGTAAAGACTTGTGTCGTTAAAATTCCGTCGGAACACAGTTACGAAAAAAATCAATTAACAAACGGAGACGTAACAATATGGTTAGGCCTTTATTGTTCTTTTGCTCTAGTTATGCTGAAAAAATCATTTTCAGGGTATTGTTTCCTTAGTTTATTAACAGCTGTTACTTCCTGACAATCTCAGCTGTAATGGTCAGGTTTATTCCATCTGTAAAAGTCCCCTCTTTCTGATATCCTTTAAGAGTAGTTCTTATTCCATACAAACTTTTGCCTGCAATTCTAGGCAATATGTCCTTTCAAGCTGCATTTGAAACACTTTTCATCTTGCGGTTTATTTCCTCCCTTCTGTGTGACTAGTTGTCCAGTTAATACTTTCAGTTCTTCTTGAGTAGCGTCAGAGGAAGATGGTTTTTCAATACTACTCGATCTGATGATCCCATAATTAAGGTATCTATAAACTGGTCACATGCCAACGAATCCATCATTCCAAGTGTAGCACCTGTGTAAGATAATTGGGCCAGACTTTCCAAACTTTCGACATATTTGGCTATTTCTTTCCTCCATACACTGTTCTGGAACTTTGCTCTGGATATTTCCTTCTGTTGTACCACCCCAAACCTTTTGGATAAGGTAGTTATCAATGCTTAATAGGAAAAAAAATAACGTACAGTTAAATGAAGCAGTCTAAACTTGTCAACCAAAGTAGGGATTGAAAATCATTATAAAATCTATCCAACTAGTGTCACTTTACGTGTTTGTGTACTTTTTATTGTAGCATATATTTTGTTTTGGATAGTTCTTATAGCAATTCTAGGTATATCCAACGATCCTTACTTTCCGTTAAGTTTTTTTCCCTATTTATATAAAAAAGAGTTGGCAACGTATGTGTACTATCGTTGGATGTGTTCTTTTGAATTTTTTGGTAAAAATAATGTCAAGTACAACTCATGTACTAATAACGAATTAGTTTATTTTTTATATAAAATTTGCTACAGGTTACGTTCATTTTGAAACAAGTTGTAAGCTTAAGCTCAAATATAATATTTCAACAGAAAATTTCTGGCTATTAACGTTGTGTTGCGTGAGCGAGGTCATGTGACTAATGTCACGCCACTTCGGGAATAGTCGGGAGATTACTAGATATAGGGTAGTCTGGTATATATATAAGAGGGTGACAACGTGACGAATTAATTC